AGTATACCACATTAGCAGATGTGCAGGTGAACATCTGCTTGATGTGGAAAGTCTTCTTGGGGCCTGGGATGGGGGTGAGGGAAGAAGTGTGGGGGCAGGTGTAGCACCATCATAAGGTTAGAAGTGGGGATATTAACTGATGATTGCACAATATTCATGACCATTTGCAACTCCTCAGATACTGAGGCAGTCCATGATATAATGCGACAAGACCTGGATAATATCCATGATTGGACTGACAAGTGGCAAGCAACATTCACGCCACACAAATGCCAGGCAATGACCATCAACAATTAGAAATGAATCTAACCACCACCCCTTGACATTCAATGGTATAACAATCACTGAATCCCCCACTATCAACATCCTTGGAGTTACCATTAATCAGAGACTCAACTGGACTCGCCACATAAACACAGCAGCTACAAGAGCAGGTCTGAGACTAGAAATACTGCAGTGTGTAACTCACCTCCTGACTTCCCAAAGCCTGACCATCATCTACGAGGTACAGGACAGAACTGTCATGGAATATTCCCCCAGTTGCCTAGATGGGTACAGCTCCAGCAACACTCCAGAAGCCTGACACCATCCAGGTCAAAGCAGCCTACTTGATTGGGACTACATGCACAAACATCCACTGCCTCCACCACCAACACTCAGTAGCAGCAGTGTGTACAAAGTGCACTGTAGAAATTCACTAAAGATCCTCAGACAGCACCTTCCAAACCCACAACCACCTCCATCTAGAAGGACAAGGGCAACAGATACATGGGAAACACCACCACCTGCAAGTACCCCACAAAGGTGCTCACCATCCTGATTTAGAAATGTTTCACCATTCTTTCACTGTTACTGGGTCAAAATCCCAGAATTCCCTCCCAAATGACAATCTGACTGAACCCACAGCAGGTGGACTGTAGTGGTTCAAGAAGGCAGCTCACCACCACCTTCTCTAGGGCAGCTAGGGGCAGGCAATAAAATAATGGCCAGCCAGCAATGCCCACTCCCATGAATGAATAAATTTGAAAAAAAAGCATACAGATCAAGCAGGATCTGTAGAGAGATCTGTTTTTCTTTCACATTTCCAGCGTCTACAGTTCTTTATATTTATCTGAGACTGGATATCGAATGCTACATTTCAGAGGAAGCCCTTTAACCCATGGAGTCTGAACCAAGAAAACACTTCTGTAAAGCTACACCGGTTCCACTTTCCAGCACTTGGTTGCCTTGAGTGTTTTGACATTTTGAGTGCTCATCTCAGTATTTCTTAAAGATTGTGAGGTTTCCTGCATCAACTAACCTCCCAGGCAGTGCATTCCAGATTCCCGCCAACCTCTGGATGAAAACCATTTTCCTCAAATCCCCACTAAACCTCTTGTCTTCACCTTAAAATTAGCCTTTTTGTTAGTGACCCTTCGACTAAGGGAAACAGCTGCTTTCTATCTACCCTGTCCATGCCCCTCACAATCTTATACACCTAAATCAGGTCCTATCTCAGCCTTCTCTGCTCTAAACAACCAGAGCTTATCCAGCCTCTCTTCATAGCTAAACTGCCCTGTCCTAAGCAACATCCTGGTGAATCTCCTCTGCACCCTCTCCTTTCTTCCCCTAGTACAGTAACTGGAACTGCGCACAGTACTCCAGCTGTGGTTTAACCAAAGTCCTGTTTCGCTCCAACATTACCTCTCTGCTTTTATAATCTTTGCCATGACTAATTAAGGCAAGTGTCCCATATACTTTCTTAACTCCTTTATTAACCTGCCCTGCACCTTCAGGGATCTACGAATAAGCACCCCACTCTGTTCCTCTGAGCTTTCTAGTGTCCTGCCTTTCATTGAGTACTCCCTTGTTTTGTTACTTCTTTCAAAGTGCATCATCTCACATTTATTGTGCAACAGATAAGGTTTATTTAACAAGCATGTTGTATGGGATCTATTAGGTAAGAGTGACCATAAAATGATGCAATTGCTCATTAAGATGTAAAGTGAAGAAGTCAAATCTGAAATTAGGGTCCTGAATCTAAATAAACCAAACTATGAGGCACAAGTAAATAATAATGGATTTGGGAACCTTACTAAAAGGGTTGACATTGAATAGCCAATGGTTAATATTTAAGAAATGTATGCACGATTTTCAAGTAATTTTTTATTCCTATCTGGTGCAAAAATAAAACAAGAAAGGTGTCTTAACCAAGGCTTACAAAATAAATAGGAATACTATTTGATACAAAGAGAAAGCATATAATGTTGCCAGGAAAACCAGCAAGCCTGAGGGTTGGGAGCAGTTTAAAATTTAGCAAAAGTGGACCAAAAAAATTGATGAAAGTGGGAAAATAGAGTGTAACAGTAAATTGCAGTGTAAATAAAAACTGTAAAAGCTTCTAGAACTATGTGAAGAGAAAAAGATTAGCAAAGACTAACATAGGTCCCTTAGTTCAGATTACAAAAGAATTGGTGTTGGAGGTCTTATAATGCATAAAGCTAAATAAATCCCTGGGACCTGATCAGGTCTTTCCTTGGGGGGAGCCTAGGGAGATTGTTGGGCCCCTTGTTGAGATAGTTGTATCATCAATGGCCACGGGTGAGGGGGAGGAAGACTAATGTGGCTAATGTGCTGCCAGTATTTAAGAAAGGCTGTAAAGGAAAAGCCAGGGAACTATAGACCAATGAGCCTTAGTTGGAGGGAAATTCTGACAGATAGGATTTACAAGAATTCGGAAAGACAAGGACCGATTAGGGATAGTCAACACGACTTTGGGCATCGGAAATTGTGTTTCACTAACTTGATTGAGTTTTTTTGAAGAGGTGACAAAGAAGATTGATGAAGACAGAGTGGCAGACATTGCCTACATGGTCTTCAGCAAAGCATTCGACAAGGTTCATGAAAAAGCTTCACAAAAGCCAGTATCCCGTCACCAAGTCACCCTTTATTTACAATGTGCATAGTACTTGACACTGGCATGGCTTCCTCAGAGGAAACAGAACCTTTGAGACTCTTGTTTATACCTGTCAGCCAGGGCTCCCTGATTGGACTAGATTAACAGCTCTAAATCAGGGAACTCATTCGAAGAGGTTCACCTGGCTGATCTTGTTAAATCATTACATCCATCCCCCTCTAAGTCCGGGGATGTAGACCTGCTGTTTTTCTTGTAGCATCTCCTGGGGCGTTTTCACACCGATTCTGGTTCCTCCAATTCAGCATTGGAAACAGGGAGTGAGTACCAGGCTGCAGCCTGCCTCTTGTGCCCAGAGCATCTTGGAAGATATTCATCCTCTTCTTGAGGCGGTAAAGGCTTTGAGGCCGTGACATCCGCTGTGTCCATCTCAGACCCTGAGATTTGTCAGACACTAAACAGAGGGAGAGCACCACAGCTTCCGACAGCCTTTCCAGCTGTTCTGAGGGACCGGGTATGTTTGCACCTGCCACGTTCGTGAGTTTGCAGTTTTTGAGCCTCGGTCCACATTCTTCTTCAGGGCCGGCTCACCTACCTGAACTTTGTACGTCACGGTACCTGACCTTGCATTGACCGTGTCCCTTACCCACACAGGGCAATTTCCATGCTTTCCGCACCAAACTTCGTCCCCTGAAGTGAAGTGTCTCTCTCACTTAGCGGAGTCTTGTGCCCAGCACTAGCATTCCTGATGGCATTTCACTCTCCATGCCTGGAGTTCCAGGAAGATCGGGTTTAAACTGATGTGGAGTCTTCTCCCCTTTAGCAACTCTGCTGGAACTATCCCTGTTAATGCATGAGGGGTGGTCCTATAATCAAATTAAAACTGGGATAGTTTGGTATTGAGTGAAGCTGTCGGCTGTTTCTTTAAGCCTGCCTTCAAAGTTTGGACTGCTCTTTCTGCCAGACAATTGGATGATGGGTGGTATGGAGCTGTCCTTATATACCAATGCCATTTGACTTCAGGAAATATTCAAATTCCCTGCGGGTAAATGATGGCCCGTTGTCTGTGACCAAAACTTCCAGAGTTCGTCCATTCTAAAAGATGCTCACAGCTTTTCTGTCATAATCTTAGTGTTTGACAATTGAATCTGATGCACATCTAATCAGTGAGGATCTGCACTGACTAAGAACGTTAAACCCACAGAAGGTATAGTCGACGTGTAACCGAGTCCAGGGTCTGGAGGTGCTAAGGGTTCCAGGAGTGCTGCAGAGATTGAGAACATTGTGATTTGGTTGGATTCTGGGATTAATCCTAGAAGGAGTTTGCGATTCGGGACCATTGAGGGTGGCAAAATGTGGAAACAGTAGAGTTGGTTACTTGATTGGGGACCATTGGAGGATCTATATATGGGGCAAGGATCTGGAGAAAGGGAGATTTGAGGTGCAGAAGGACTGAACAAATGGTTCTGGATCACTGACAAAACAGGGTCATGCAGTACTGGGCCTTGGCTTGTCAAAAAAAAATCTTATTTCACCTGAATATTTTTACCTAACAAAAACAGAGAGAGTTTTCAATCTCAGTGTTTTTAAGGCATGTGAATTTGACGAATTTTACAAAATTCCATCAAGATATCAACAGGATTTGAAGTCAGGGTCTTGAACAGCCAATGTCTTATTGTTTTATAATGGAATGTTGTCAGTATCAACCGGTCAGATCACATAAAAAGTTCGACTGGGGCCTGTATAACCAAATCAAGCAAACATTAAAAATTAGTGCATGAACCTGAGACATGTATGGGCCAATTGCTAGCAGTTTCATAAAAATAGCGAAAGAATTATGGATGCTGTAAATAGGAAAAAAAAAGATATTGCTGGAAAAGCTCAGAACCAGTTCTGAGGAAGGGTCATTCGACACTGTACATTAACTCTGATTTCTGCGCCAGACATGCTGAGCTCTTCCAGCAATTTCTGTTTTTGCTAGTAGTTTCGTCTTTGGGTACTTAATATCATGGCCTCACTTCCCACTCCAGAAATCGCTAAAAGGAAGAGGCTGATATTGCATGCCAATGCAGTGCTGCGTTTCTTTTAATTCTTTCATAGCATGTGCATGCCACTGGCTGGGCCAACATTTATTACCCCTGAGCAGGTGGTGATGAGCTGCCTCCTTGAATCATTGTAGTCCATCTGGTGTGGTACTCCTACAGTTCTCTTCGGAAGGGGGTGCCAGAATTTTGATTCAGCAATAACGAAGGAATGGTGTTATTAGTAACAATTCACAATGGTGTGTAGCTTGGAAGGGGAACGTGCAGGTGGGAGATGTTCTCATATATTGGTGGCAGAGGTCAAAGATTTTAAAGGTACTATTAAAAGGACCTTGGTGAGTTGCAGAAACACATCATGTAAATTGCTGCCATTGTGCATCTGTGGCAAAGGGAGTGAAATTTGAGGGAGGTACATGGTCGCTAATCGAAATAGGCAGCTTTCAGATAACTGCTTTCTTAGATTCCATTATATTCAAGAGGAACCAGGAAGGAATCCCTGGTGTACTTGCCAATACTTATCAACCAATGTCAACTTCACATTACGTTGTGTGCTATATTACAATAATGCTTACACTTTAAAACGAGACTGGGGAGTAAAATACTTTGAGAGCTCCAGTGGTCATAAAAGCAAGTCCTTTCTTGAAAGGAGATTAAGTTAGTTACTGGTTTCCTATTGTACATTTTCTTTATGAGAAGGGAAAATAATTTCATGATCTTGACATTCCAAAGCTTGCAGCTAATTAAGTACTTGCTGATTTGTTTACAATGTTGTAATGTAGGAAAATATAGTGTTTACCCCTAAAGGACATGTTTTTTTTAATTGCCAAAAGACATCAGCTAAAACCTTTGTATTTTCCTGGAAAGGAAAATTCTGTGAGATGTCTGATTGTTGTTTTGTGAGATTGTTTATTTTGTTCAATATTGATTATTGAAGTCACCACATACTTTTCCTTTTTGGACTAAAAACAGGAACGGAATTTGGATCCTGCTATATCGCTGAAATACCAGGAGAGTTTTGCAAATTGGGAAAGTCAAATGGTGTAAATTTTTGCCTGTGCAAAACAATGTTATTGTTAGAACAGTGAGATTGATACATAATTACATCAGAGCAGCAACAGGAACTTTTGAGTGAAGAAAAAACTGCCTGATGACAGAGCCCTTGGATTGGTCCAGCTGCAGTTAGTTACAAATTAATTATAGAGCAGCCAGAGACCTTCAGAGCCAATAAACAGAAAACATCTTCCTCTCTCCTTCTCCTCGTATAACTGAGATGATTACAAAACTTAAAAGAATGAATTCTATTTTAAAGGGAAGACCTGGGCCTACTAGATCAACTATCACAGTGAACAGAAGAACTAGGAGAAGGAGTAGGCAATTCAGACCCTCATGCCTGCTCCACCATTTAATATGATCATGGCTGATTTCACTTTGGCGTCAACTCCACTTTCCTGTCTGCTCCCATTACCTTTTGACTCATTATTCTATTAGTATATGAAGGGGAAGAGGATAATCAGGAAAAATAATAAGGCACATTAAGGACCAAGAGAGCAATCCGTGCCTGGAGCCAGAGGATGTTATAAAAGTGTGTCAAATGAGTACTTCACATCTGTCTTCACTTTAAAGAAAGAGGATGTAAGGAGAGAATTCAGGAAGAGAGGCCGAGTTATTCTTGAGTAGTTTGACACAGGCAGTTGTGGCATGGATTATAAGAGCTGGGAGGTTATGTTGGAGCTGTACAGGACTTTGGTGTACTATGCATAGTTCTGGTCATTGCACTATAGTTTAAGTCATTATAATAGCAAGTCAGAACCCCACAGAACTGTGGATATTTTAAATATGTAATTCCAAAATATATTTCTTTAAAAAAATGGATGATACAGCAAGAAAGGAATAACCATACTTGCCCTACGGCAAGTTAAGTTCACCAGACTGGTTCCTTAAGTGAGCAGATTGCTTAGTGAGGTAAGCATTAAGTAGACTAGATTTACTGAATTTTAGAAGAATGAGAACAGATCTAATTTAAACATTTAAGATTTTTAGAGGGCTTGACTGGCTTGATGCAGGAGAAAATCTGTCTTTGGCTGGAGAACCCAGAACATAGAATTACAGATTCAGAATTTGGAGATAGCTATTTAGTAGAGATGAGGAGAAATCCCTTCCTCAACAGTTTGTGAACTTTCAGAATTCTCTATCCCAGATGTCTGTGAACATTCAAACATTTCGTGTATTAAAGATAGAGGTCAAGGAATTTTTAGGGATTAACAGAATTAAGTAATATAAAGGACAATGTGGAAGGTTGAAGTCGCAACAGAAGGTCAGTCAAGATCTTACTGAATGAAAGAGAAGGCTCTAAAAGTCAAAAGACCCATAGAAGTTCCTTTCACTTATGCATTGATAGAAAATTATAAAATCGTTATCTGGATCATTAAGGTCCTTTAGGGAAGGAAACTTCTGGCCTAAGTATGACTCCAACTGTACAGTAATATGGTTGACTCCTAACTGCCCTCTGCACAATTAGGAATGGGTAATAAATACTGGCCTACATCACAGAAATGAATAAAAACTAGAACTTTGCACCAACTGGTTGCTGTGATCCACCTACCAGAGGCCCCATTAAACACCCATTTGAACGCCCACGGTCATCTCTTGGCTCCTGCTGTCCTTGTTGATAAGAGTGCGGATGAGCACCGCCTTCAGGGTAAAGGGCGTCACTACAGGACCGGCCGAGACGTCACCGGACATAACCAATCAGAAGCACGATACCGCAGTGACATTATCGCCCATCGTCACCGCGTATTCCCGCCTCCTCGGCACGGTGGTTGGGTAGCTGTGTTGATGACGTACATACGGAATTATGATAGGTCGATGATGGTGTCAGTCAACCACCTGGGGGCGGGGCTTGGCCCAGGTGCCCTCTGAGGGTGGAAGGATCCGGCGACATGGCCGTGGGGCTTGAGGCGGCGGCAGTTGGCTGCCTGTTTTCGTGGTGCTCGTTGGCTGCCACTTTTGGCTGCTTGCTTTTCGTGGCTTGGAAACTGGGGCTGGTTCAACGGCTGCGGTATCAGGTGAGGAAGGGGGCTGGGTACGACGTCAGTGAGCCTTTTAGGGAGGGCAAGTGTCAGAGATCAATGAGCCTCGTTGGGGCGGGTCAGAGGTCAGTGATAACAAGGTGTAGAGCTGGATGAACACAGCAGGCCAAGCAGCATCATAGGAGACACTGGGTCTAGGCCCGAAACGTCAGCCTTCCTGCTCATATGATGCTGCTTGGCCTGCTGTGTTCATCCAGCTCTACACCTTGTTATCTCAGATTTCCCAGCATCTGCAGTTCCTACTATCTCAGAGGTCAGTGAGCCTTGTTGGGCGGGTCAGAGGTCAGTGAGCCTTGTTAGGAGGTCAGAGGTCAGTGCAGTGGGAAGCTCTTAGGGTCGGTGTGGACTTATTGGGCCAAAGGACTTGTTTCCACACTGTAGGAATGCTATAGATTCTATGCGCCTTGTTAGGGGGTCAGAGGTCAGTAACCAATGCTCACTGTCCTGGAAACAGTATCAGTTGTTGTTGTATGGTGGTCGGGGTATTTTCCCCGTTTCTAGCATTGGGGTGTCAGAGGGCCATGCTCTCTCTATGGGGTGCATCAGGAATGGGATACCTGGAGCACTGACTCCTTCCTGGGGGCTTGGGATGTGAGAGGTGGGATGATTGATTCCTACAATGCTGAGGTTGGGCTTAAGAGGTCAGTGATTCCTATGCTAGGTGAAAGCTCGCTGCAGCCCAGGGAATCCACGATATTCTGACCCTGGCCGTTGTAGGTAGTCATGACAAAACTGCTCCAAAGTAGGAGAGACTGACATTCTACAAATGTGTTTTATAGTCCAACATAAAATAAGGTGCACTGTATAAGAACTGAGGCTGTTTCAGTGGGTGAGTGATGTTTTTTCCTTGATTCATTGAACAGGTGGAAGCTTCAAGTCCCAGACATGGTGGTGAGAGTGTAGCTGAGGTGCTGAAGGCTCATGGTGTGAAGTACGTGTTCACCTTGGTGGGAGGACACATCTCACCGATTCTTGTGGCTTGTGAGAAGATTGGCATCCGTGTGGTAGACACACGACATGAGGTCACAGCTGTATTTGCTGCTGATGCTGTGGCCAGGCTTTCAGGTAATAAAGGTAACTGTGTAGGGGGGAAGCGTATGCTGACAACAAGCTTTGAAGAAACACCCAACTACACCAAACCAACACTTCTCAGACTTGTGGTTTCCCTGACAATCTTCCTAATTTGGGGATAATGGGAATCCAGCGGATGTGGTATATCTAGATTTCTAGAAGGCATTTGACAAGATGCTGCATAAAAGACTGATACAGAAAGTTAGATCTCGGGGTAAGGGTTCAGTATTGGATTGGGTAGATGATTGGCTGACTGACAGAAAGCAGAGGGTTGGGATAAATGTATCTTTCTCTAGATGGCGAACTGGGTGCCATAGGGTTCAGTTTGTGGACCTTTATTATTTATAATCTATGTGAATGATCTGCTAACAGAATCAGAGTGTAACATAGCAAAATTCACGGAGAATACTAAAATAGCTGGGAAAGCAGGCTGTGATGAGGAGATAAAGATGGATATTGATAGGCTAGGATAATGGGCCAGAATCTGCCAGATGGAATTTAATATGGATAAGTACAAAGTTTATCGTTTTGGTTGGAAAACTGAAATGGCAAATTATTACTAAAATTGGAAGCAGATTCAAAGTGCATCAGTGCAGAGAGATCTGGGCATTATGTGCATGAATCACAGAAAGTGGGTATGCAGATGCAGTAAGTAATAAAAAAACGCAGATGGAATGCTGCCATTTATTGCAAAAGGACTGGATTATAAAAGTAAGGAAGCATTGCTACATTTATATAAGTTATTGGTGAGATCACACCTGGAATATTATGTCCGGTTTTGGTCTCCTTACTTGAGGAACGATGGGGTGGCACTGGGGGCAGTTCAGAGGAGGTTCACCAGGTTGATTCCAGGGATGAAGGGGCTGGCAAACGAGGAGCAGTTGAATAGTTTTGGCTTGTACTCGCTGGAGTTCAGAAATATGAGGTGGGATCTGATTGAGGTATATAAAATGCTGAAGGGGTCTGATAAGGTGGACGTTGAACAGATGTTCCCTGTTGTGGGACAGTATTGTACAAGAGGTCATGGATTTTGAGTAAGAGGAGGTAGGTTCAAAACTGAGATGAGGGAACCTACTTCTCTCAGAGGGTTGTGAATCTGTGGAACTCACTGCCGTAGAGTGCAGTGGAGGCAGAATCAATCAACAGATTCAAGAAAGAAATAGATATATTTCTGATGATAAGCAGGATAAAGGGATGTGGGGACCAAACAGGAAAGTAGTGTTGAGACCAGGATAAGATCAGCCAAGATAATGTTAAATGGTGGAGTGGGCTCGAAGGGTTTTGGTTCCTAATTCCTAAGCTTTTTTTTTGGTGAAGATGCACATTGACATTGTAGCAGATTGGCCTCATTCTCAAATCCATGCTTCTATTGACTAGAACTTGATGCTACTCCAAGCCAAATCATATTAATGTACACTTTAGACCCCTCTATCCCTCTAATTCTCATTCAAGATTTTTCTTCAACTTACCTATTTAATCTGTCCAAATGTTCTGTTCTTTGACTCAATGTTGATTTTTTTTTTCAGTAAAAAGGTGTTCCACTGATGTCAAAGCTTAAATTTAAAAAAAGTAACCTGGCATTTGCTGTTTATGTCTGCAAGAACATTGATCAGAATCTCACTTAATCTATCTTCCCGATATTGTGATATAGGAATGTTGCACAGAATTGGGGCATTTTGCAGTGAATTCAGCAACATTGAATGGTCATCCTGTTCATTTTTGGTCACCTAGGACCTGCTGTATTGCCTAAGATTTAATGCTTAAAACACTGAATATCTCCTCCCATTCTCTATCAATCCTCTTCCTAACCCGACCTCTGTGAATGTTCGATTGTGCATTGTCACACACTTCACTTCATCATTGATGCATGTATCTTAAGCTAAATTCTTTCCACTTCCCTCTCCTTTCAAAAGTCTTCCTTAACCATCATTCAAGTCGATTGCCAATAATACACAAACATATTATGAACTATTTACTTTCATCAGTTGCAACCTGCTATTCTCCTCTTTTTACAATGGTTTGACTGACAACGGATATATTCTCTTGAGTATAGAATCAAGTAGTAGCATTTTAGGATGATTAATTGACATGAAGGGGTAGAGAGTGGGACAAGTATTTTCTACAGCCAGTCCAGATCAAGGGGGTACAACCTTCCTGTTGGAGCTCCACTGTTCAGGGGTGAAATCAGGAGGCACATCTTCACACAGTGGGTAGTGCAACTCTGGAAAACCTTACCCAGAAACTGCTGACACTGGGGTCAGTTGAAAATTGATGAGATTGATGAATCTTATTCTTACAAGGGTATTGAGAGGTATAGAACTAAGCTTGATCAGCCGTGATGTTATCAAATGATGGAACCAACTTGAGGGGCTGAATGGTCTTCCTTTTGTTCTGATGGTCCAGATGCTGCAGATATTAATTTCTTTTTCATGACCTTCTCAAGAAAATACTTGGTCTGCTCTGCAGCCATTGGGCAACATTGATTATTTACTTCAGTAGTTTTTAAGTTATTTTGTTGATATTGCAAACAAGCAGCTATCGCCTCTTGCCTTTTGTTATAGCCTTAATTTGGCTCCATCATGTAGTTATCGCTGTGTAATGTGTAGCTAACCATTTGAGTACAGTGTGCCTTTCATTACTGACTCAGACCTGTTTCATTGTGGTCCACTTTGCTAAACACTTTACAGCAGAAAACGCAAAGGTTGTTCAGTGCACTTTACCATTTCTTTGCAGGCTCCTACTTCAATCCATAGTCTGCATATTTCTTATCTAAATATCACTGCTAGTCTTATGACATGGTGTTTGGGATAATTGCATTTGGTTAATGTTTAATGAGGGCCAGTGTAAGATCAAAGATAAAGAAGTTGGAGATAAAGTTGTACAATGGATTCATAAAAGAACTTATTTCTTTGTTTTGCTATCCTAGCCTAAGTTCTGTTTACCTTGTAGAATTGCAACTGACAGCAGCTGGTCTGACATGGGACTGACATCCTGTACCATGTGGAATTGACTGTGGTGTAGATTCAATATTGTAGGCCTGCTGATGTGCCCTCTATATTTGCCATATAAATGCTTCTCCCAAACTATACAGCCCAGTATTTGTACAGCTGGACCAAGCACCATTTAGTGTTTAACTAAAAACTCAGGAGATTACACCTTGTGTTTTTCCCTTTACAGGAATGGCGAAGAAACCATGACCATGAGTGCTGTAGTTATTGTCAGTATATTAGGGAATGATCAAGTTAATCTCAGTATATTGAGGAGTCTGCCTGTTGTTGCAGTGTAAGAAGCATGGCCATTGAATGTGTGTACTGATAGCTATTTGGCTTTGTTTCAGGTTCTATTGGTGTTGCTGCAGTAACTGCAGGTCCTGGTTTAACCAACACGGTGACTGCAATGAAAAATGCGCAAATGGCAGAGACTCCAGTGCTGCTGATTGGGGGAGCAGCTGCAACTCTTCTACAGGTAAACAGTCTTCCCACGAGGGAGTGTTTCCATTCAGTACATCTGATGCACTTAATAACAACAGCTTGTGTTTATATGGTGCTTTTGTCCCATTGTAACACATCCCAACGTGCTTTGGAGCGACAAGCAGAGGATTGCACCGACCCACGGAAGGAGATATTAGCATGGTGATCAAAAGATTACTCAAAAAAAAGAAAGGCTTTAAATAAAGAAAGAAAAACCAAGATGTTTAGGGAGAGAATTGCAGAACTTGCCACTCAGGCAACTGAAAGCCCTGCCATCACTTGTGGAGTGATGGGAATAGAGGTTGATCAAAGTCAAAATTACCAGGATATCTGTTTCTCTTGTGCAGTTGTGGAATTGGAGGAGATTGGGAAGAGTGAGATCATGGAAGGATTTGAAAGTGAAATTTGAAATGGACCAGGAGCTAATGTAGGTTAGCAAGCACTGCAGTGATGATTGAATGAGATGTGGTTTGAGTTCAGACACTGGCAGCAGAGCTTCAGGTAACCAAGTGTAAGGAGGATTGCCCATTGAAATAGTCAAGTCTAAAGATAACAAAGGCACGGATGAGGATTTCATTAAGATGGATTTTCATCATTTGTGTAGCACTGCTTTGCCCTTGGATTTTCAAACAGCTATTATTGCTACAAACTAGTGGTAATTGAATTGTTGTACCTATGGTTTGATGGATAGTTCTGCCCTGGGCTTTTTACGGTATGTTGGCAGACTAAGCCATTTCTAAGCAAACTTAGATATGAACAATTTCCTGAGAACTCTTTGGAAATAGTTCCTTAGAATCGTAGATGATGTGCCTGATGTAATCAGGAACAAGTTATTTGCTTATGTTGTGTAGTTGCACTTCAGATTTACCCTATTTTGTAAGTTCTTTAGCCATTAGAGCGAAAGACAACAGAAGGGCTCCTTGAGAGTTCTGCACCAAGCCCTGATGCATGGTCTCGGATCTTTTTCTCACCCCAAATTTTACAATGAACAGGGAAGACATCACTGATTTTCCCACTTCTAAAGGAATGATTAGGTTCATCTCACTGGAAACTTGTTTTGTGATGTTCATTTATAGTTATTTGTTTGATAGTTTCTGGCCTTCAGGCATTGCAACAAATTGCATTTATGTATACTGGTCCTAATGTCATAAAACAATCCA